CTTGCAGTAATAGGCCTTGGGTTACTGCTGGTAATCCTGCCTTCCCCTTGTAGGGTTAGAGGAGGTCAGAACATGTGGCCTCCTTATCGTTTTTGCAAGGCCCAACTCAGTAATTTTCTTTTTGTATTGTTGTGACACTAACTTAAGAGTTACTAGGTGGCCCAAATAGTGAACTGTTCAGCCACCAGCTGAAAGGCTGGTGGTTCAAATCCACCCAGAAGCACCATAGAAGACAGGCCTGGCAATCTGTTTCCAAAAGGTCATAGCCTTGAAAACCCTATGGAGTTCTTCTCTGTGCACATGGAGTAGCCATGAGTCGGAATCAACTGCAACTAACAACAAAAATACTAAATATTTCTTGGGTAAAGCATTAAACCTCTCTGGATTTCATGTTCTTCACTATAAAAGAGGTAAACAGGTATATGAACTAAGGTCCTATATAGTCAGAAATCACAAAAATAATATTCTATGACTCAAGTGATTTATTGATGTATAGTATAGCAAATTCTTTAATAAATAAAACAGATCAGAAAAACCATTCATGTCTAAGTCTCAACACCCAATCAAAAAGTTTAAAATAAAAAAAATAGTTTTTAGTTTATTCAATATAACAGTATAAATTACGGCCCAATGAACAAAACTAAAGTGTAGTTAACAAGGTAAGCTTTTGCTATTATACATAGACAAATCAACATGTCCTCCAAAGTGCTTCCTCCAGTAAAGTAATTAAGGCTCCTATAATATAAGTTTAATATGTAAAAAAATTCTGATTTATTATTTTTCCAATTAGCATCTTTCATCTTTATAAGCAATTTAGTATCAAATCCAACCAAAACTTACTTCTAATATTAAAACTGTCTACAAATTAAAATCTGTTACCCAATAAAGAAAAGTTTAATGTGATACCATAAAAAATGTTCAAATGTCCCCATACTACTAGTACTATCTTCATCACTAGTGGAATAGCTATATAATACCTGTGAATGAAGTTTTCTGTGGAGTTCTGAAAATAATGCAACATCTGCTTCTCTTCTTTGTCGAATAACTGAAAGGTCAGAAAACAAACTCAGCAAGTGAATAACATACACTGAAATTCATTTTCATGACTATTTCACCAACCACAGGCAGCCTGAAGTGCTGGAAAGAAATCTGGACTTAAGAGTCAAAAGATCTACACAAATAATCTGTTAGCTCTAAGAACTTAGTTAATTCATTTAATCTCTCTGATAGCTTTAAAATATGTACATTATTAAGGTGGTCTCAATGAATTTATAGGAAAATTAACCAATATAATAAAAATGGTGGAATTTTTAAAATTCTATATATAAATATTAATTAAAACAGAGGGAGGAAAACTATTGTCAATTTAACACTTAATAATGGCTAAGGAAGGAGCTCTGGTAGCATAGTGGCTAAAGCACTTGACTGCTAACCAGAAGGCTGGCGGTTCAAACCCACCAGCCACTCCTCGGAAGGAAGGTTGGGCAATCCTACTTCCGTAGTGATACTGCCTCGGAAACCCAAGGAGGGGTCGCTATGAGTCGGGGCCGACTCAACGGCACATAACAACAACAATGGCTAAGGAGGGATGGGAACTGAAAATATTTTTGGAATCCTAAATTCAAAAGGAGTTATAAAACATTATGATAGTTTATGATAGCTTATTTGATATTTAGACAACACATTCTAAACGTTTTGCTGACATATACAGCAATGCTTTGTCTTATTTAGTATAAATTGTATTAGTTGTTTCAAAATAAAACCCAAAATAGCTTATTATCTAATTTTCACCAACTAATACATGTCATTAATAAGTGAAGGTAGAAAAATATCTTTTTTTTAATTCCAACTACATTTGTAAGTTATTTGAAGGTGGCTATAGCAAATGAAGAAGCCGCTAAGTAGTGCAAATTACCGTACATACTTTGCTGCTAACCAAAAAGTTGGTGGTTTTATACTACCCTCCCATAGATGTCTTAGAATGCCTGATGATGTACTTCTGAAAAAAAGTCATTGAAAACATTATGAAGAACAGCCCACTATGACACACATGGGATAGCCATGATTTAGAATCAACTCAATGGCAACTGATAATAGCAGCAAATGAAAAGTTCGTGTTATTTTTCTGTTCCATGTTAAGAAAGCAGCTACAGATGAGATTTTAAGTTGCTTGACTAAATAGATTCTACTTGCTAACATTTACAAAAACACCAAGCAGACTTCCTATACACAGCTGTCTCTCAAAAAAAAAAACCTATGAAAATAGAATTTCATTGTTAGGTGCCAGTGAGTTGGTTCTAACTCATAGCAACCCAACACACACAAAAAAAATCTGCCTCGTAACGTGTCATCTTCAGAATCATTACTGTGTTTGAGCCTTTGTTGCAGCCACTATGTCAATTCACTTCATTGAGAGTCTTCTGCTGAATTCACTGACTCTCTGCTTTACCAAGGGTGATGTATGTCCTTCTTCAGGAACTAGTTGTGCTTCCTAACAACATAACCAAAGTACATGACATGAAATTTTACCATACTTGCTTCTAAGGAGCATAGTGGCTCTATTTCTTCCAAGACAGATTTGTTCATTCTTCTGGTAGTCCATAGTATGTTCAATATTCTTTATAAACATATTACAAAGCCATAAATTCTTCTCTGATCTTCCTTATTCACTGTCCATCTTTCACACACATTAGAGGTGACTGAAAATATCACGGCTTGAGTCAAGCGCACCTTACTTCTCAAAGTGACATCTTTGCTTTTGGACCCTTTAAGGAGGTCTTCTGCAGCAGATTTGCCCAATGCAATACATCACTTGATTTCCTGACTACTGTTTCCACAAGACTTGATTGTGGATCCAAGTAAAATGAAATCCTTAACAATTTCAATCTTTTCTCCACTATCATGATGTTGCTGATTGGTCCAGTAGTGAGGATTTTTGTTTTATGTTGAGGTGTAATTCACTGAAGGCTGCAGTCTTAAGTGCTTCAAGTTCTTTTGGCTTTCAACAAGTAGTATCATGTGCATATCGCAGATTGTTAATGATTCTTCCCCAAATCCTGATGCTGCATTCCTTTTCATATACTCCAGCTTTTCGTATTGTTTGCTCAGCATACAGACTAAATAATTAGGTGAAAGGATACAACCTAGACACACACTTTTCCTGATTTTAAGCCTGAGAGTAGCCTCTTTTTCTGTTCGAACAATTTCCTCTTGATTTATTCTGCAAAAGAACAGTTAAGTGTGCTAGAATTCTCATTGTTCTTTTATATACTTATATACTATAATTCCAGTAGTTTCCAATGAATCTTTGTGTTCATCCCAGTTTAGTAGTATGACTTTTTAAAATCTGATCAACAAAACTTGAAAAAAAACAAGAAGAAAGTGTAAGATAAATATCTAGAACACAGTAGCCACGTAAACCAACTTTGACTGAGGTAGAAAATTTGAACAGATCCATAACTAAAGAAGAAATTGAAGATGTCAGGAAAAAAAAAAAAAAAAACTGTCCACAACAACAAAAAAAAATCCCTGGCTGTCAGCTTCACTAGAGGATTCTACCAAACATTCAGAGAAGAGCAGACACCAATTCTACTCAGACCAATTCTACTCAAACTATTCCAGAACACAGAAAGAGAAGGAATATTCCCAAATTCACTCTATGAAGCAAGCATTGCCGTGATACCAAAGTCAGGCAAAGAAACCATTAAAAAAAGAAAACTATAAGCCAATATCCCTTATGAATATAGATACTTCTCAACAAAATCCTAAACAGAATTCAACATCAAAAAAAGAAAGAAAGAAAATACATCATGATCAAGTGGGATTCATGCCAGATATGCAAGGATGATTCAATGTTAGAAAATCAACCAAAATAATCCACCACATAAATAAAACAAAGTAGAAGAATCACATCAAATCAATCAACACAGAAAAGGCATTTGATAAAATCTAACAATCTTTCCCAATAAAAACTCTATGTAAAACAGGACAGAAGGGAAATTCCTCAACATAATTAAGGTCACATACATAAAACCATTAGCCAATGTTATCCTCAGTGAAGAGAAACTGAAAGCTTTCCCCTTCAGAACAAAAACCATTTATCCCCAAGCTCAACTGTCATAACATAAAAACCAAACTCATTGCTGTTGAGTCAAATCCAACTCAGAGACCCCTCTCCTTGGGTTTCCGAGGTGGTATCTCTAGGGAAGTAGATTGCCTCATCTTCCTTCCAAGGAGTGGCTGGTGGGTTTGAACTGCCAGCCTTCTGGTTAGCAGTCAAATGCCTTAGATACTATACCACCAGAGCTCCCAGGCATAACATACTACACAAAAACATTATTCCACATCTTACTTTGCCAAGTAGCTACTGGGATCTTAAAAGCTTGCAAGCGGCCATCTAGATGCAACAATGGGTCTCTCCTCATCCAGGACAAAGAAGAATGAAGAAAACCAAAGACACATAGAAATGATTAGTCCAAGGGACTGGTATACCATGTGATCTTCACCTGTAAGACTATGAAACCAGAAGAAATAGATAATACCTGGCTACCACTGTCAACCACTCAGAAGGGGATCTATGTAGAAGATCCTGGATAGAGTGGGAGAACAATGTAGAACAAAACTGAAAATAAAAAAAAAAGAGAGAGAGAACAGGTTTGCTAGTCTGATAGAGCCTGGTGGAACCACTGGGATTGTGGCCCCTAGCTGCCCTTCAGGTCTGGAATTGAACTCACTCCTGTGGCTTCCAGTCAAACAAAAGACAGGCATATGAGCTGAACATTTACATTAGGTAGATACACTCCTTGGAGAGATCAATCATGGGAGAACAGAAGGGCTGTGTATGCACAGGGAGACAGCTCTGGGGTCAGGAGTACATGGGAGGAAAGAACACAGGGAAGAGGTAACTATGGGGAAGAGTGGGAAGAGATGTTGCATTGTGGGAAATTGCAGTCAATGTCATAAGACAAAGTGTATGTGAACTGCTCTGGTAGCATAGCGGCTAAGGCACTTGACTGCTAACCAGAAAGCTGGCGGTTTAAATCCACCAGCCACTCCTCAGAAGGAAGATGGGGCAATCTACTTCCGTAGTGATACTGCCTCGTAAACCCAAGGAGAGGTCACTATGAGTCGGGTACAACTCGACAGCACACAACAACATAACAACGTGAACTGCTGTATGGAAAATGAATTTGCTCTGTAAACTTTCACCCAAATCACAAGAAAACTTAAAAAAAAAAAAAGGAATGTCCTTTATTTCTGTCTTACTCAATATTATACTGGAAGTCCTACCTACAGCAATAAAGCAAGACAGAGAAATAAAAGGCATCAAAATTGGTAAAGAAGTAAAACTATCCCTATTTGCAGATAATATGATCTTATACACAGAAAATCCTAGAGATTCTACAAGAAACCTACTGTAACTAATAAAGCAATTTAGCAAAGTGGTAAGGTATGAGATCAACATACAAAAATCAATTGGATTCCCTTACATTAACAAAGAGAACTCTGAAAAGGAAATCAGGAAAATAATGCCATTTACAATAGATGAAGTACTTAGGAATAAATCTAAGTAGAGACACAAAAGACCTATACAAAGAAAACTACAAAACACTAATACAAGAAACCAAAACAAACCTACATAAATGGAAGAATATAGCATGCTCATGGAAAGGAGGACTTAACATTGTGAAAATATCAACACTACCCAAAGTGATCTATAGATGTAAACCAGTCTCATTCCAGATTCTATCAACATTTTTTAAAGAGATGGAAAAATTAATCACCAACTTTTTATGGAAAGGAAAAAGACCCTGGATAAGCAAAACACTGCGAAAAGAGAACAAAGTAGGGGGCCTCTCACTTCCCAATCTCAGAACTTACTATATAGCCATGGTAGCCAAAATATTCTGGTATTGATATGACAGACACATAGATCAATGGAACAGAACTGAAAACCCAGAAGTTAATCTATCCAACTATAGAAAGCTGATGTTTGACAAAGGGTCAAAATCCATTAAATGGAGAAGAGATAGTCTCTTTAACAGA